TATGCAATTTTATCTATTTATAGTGTGCAGTGTGATTTTTGAAACGTATGCACTGTGCAGTCAAACTAATTAGCTTATACATTTCTGGACTTGCAGTTTTTTGGGGGTGGTTGAAACACTGGGAAGTTACTGTTGGCATTCTTCATGCACAGTTCATAACATCTTCGGGCCCCTTGCCAGTACTCTGGCTCTACCTATTGCTGAAAGTGGAGTGGAGCATTAACCTCCCCTGTTAGCTGAACTGCCTTTGCTATTGCTTCATGGATTTAGGGTTCTGTTGTTGTTAACATATAGTTGTAATGGTTGCTTTTTTTTTTTTTTTTTTTTTTTTTTTTTTGAGACAAGGTCTCCCTGTAGCCCCAGCTGGCCTGGCACTCACTATGTAGACCAGGCTGACTTCAATCTCAGAGAAATCTGCTTGCTTCTGCCTCCCGAATGCTGGGACTAAAGGTGTGCACCACCATACCAGGCATGGTTGTTTCTTTTTGATGCGATCCTTTTATTATTATGAAATATGCTGGGGGAGGTTCTAGGGACATGGCTTCGGGGTTAAGAGCACTTCGTGTTCTTGCTGAGGGCCTGGCTTCAGTTCTCAGCACTGATATTGGTTGGCTCACAGCTGCCTGTACCTCCAGCTCCAGGGGTTGGATGCCTCTTCTGGCTTCCCTGGACACCTCATGTATATGGTACACATGGCACCACGTGGCTATACATACATACACATAAATAAAAACACATCTTTAGACAAATTATGAAATATCCTCTTTATTTCTAGCAAGAAGTTTTGTTATAAAGTTTATTTTTTAAAAGTATACTGGCTCTTTTGTTCATTGCTTACATGGTGTATGATTTTGTATCCTATTTTCACCCCATTGTGCTTTTTTTGGTCTTTTTGAGATGGGGTCCCTGTAGCCCCAGCTGTCCTTAATCCACAGTGTGTCTCTTATAGATAGCACCCACTCTTCTGATCTTTTCTACCTGGAATGCTTAACTTATTAAAGTTTAGTTTGATTGTTGATAGGATTTACTGCTTCTGTTTGCCCATTTTCTCCCCCCACCCCCTTTAATGATGAGACTCAAATGCAAGGCCTTTGTCTCTCTAGTGAAGTTTACTTCTAGCCCAGTTATATTTCTTTGTCTTTTTTTTGCTTTTTTATACTTCCTTTACTGCCTTCTTCCTTATTGTGGTGAACAAATATTTTCTTTTTAAACATTTTATTTATTATTATTATAACATGTATATGTATATGGTGAATGTGTGGATGTGGCGTTGGTGTGTGCATGCCACAGCACTGGTCGTAATGGTCAGAGGACAACTTTTGGGAGTTGGTTCTGTCCTTCTACCATGGGATTCAATGATCAGACTTATTCATCAGGTTTCTGTGGCAGGGCTTTTACCTGTTGAGCTATCTCACGTTCCCTAGTAAATCTTTTCGAACACTTGAATACCTTTGTCATTTTTCTTATTATATATTTCTGAACTTAGCATCTGCTCCAGGGATTACAGTTAAATCTTTACTTATAGTGATCTGACTAGATTAATGGATCCTCTCAATAGGGTACAAAAACATTGTTCCTGTGCAGCTCTGCTCTATTCCTCCTTAAGTTCTCGCTGTCATAGATTATGTCATTATACATTGTGTGGTAATTGATGCATATTGAACAATGTCTTTATGCTCTTGCAACTTTGATCTGACAGAATCAAAAGTTACAAACAAAAAGTACATTTATATCATCTTAGTATTCCTGTAGTTATCTTTACTTGTCAATGTCTTTCTGTGAATTTGAATTACTCTGTGGTATCCTTTCATTTCAGCTTAAAGGAAACATTCCTTTCATTTAAAAAATATTTTATTTATTATTTTTTATTTTTATGTGTCTGATTGTATTACCTCCATGAATGTAAGTGCACCTGTGTAGTGCAATGTCCATGGAGGTCAGAAGTTGGCATCACATTTCCCTGGAACTGGAGTTATAGATGATTGTTATCTGCCATGTGGGTGCTGGGAATTGAGCCCTGGTCCTCTGTAAGAGCAGCCAGTGCTCTTAACTCTCGAGTCATCTCTCCAGCCCCTAGATTTTCTTTTAAATGCATGTGTGTATGTCAGTGTGTGAGTATGCCACATTTGTGTGAGTGCTCATGGAGGCCAGAAGAGGGCACCAGATCTTCTAGAACTGGAGTTACAGGTGGTTGTGAGCTGCCCAACATAGATGCTGGGAACCAAGCCTGGGTCCTCTGGGAGAGCAGCAAGTACTATTACCCACTGATCCACCTCTCCAGCCTCCTTGTTCTTTCTTATAGGGCACATCTGTTAGTGATGAACACTTGTGTTTTTCTTTATCTGGGACTGTCTTAATATCTCCTTCATTTTCAATGTTTCAATTTTTAGAATAGTTTTGCTGATATGTAGAGTTCTTGACTGATAGCTTTTTTTCTCTTTCAACACTTTTTTCATGTCTTTAAAAATGTTTATTTATTCTTTGAGAATTTCATACATGTATATAATATATTATGATCATATCCACTCCCACTGCCCCTTCTAACTCCTCCCAGACTCCCCACCACATCCCCTTCCCAACTTTGTGTCCCCTTTTTATAACCCACTGGTCCAGTTTGTGCTTCCTGTATGTTCTGAGTGTAGGGCCGTCCACTGGAGCATGGGAAACCTACTAGGTAATAGAGATGTTCCATTTGGAGCACTGCACAGACAGTTGTTCTCTGCACTTTGGCTGGTTGTGAGTCTCTGAATTAAACACCTTCCACTGTAAAAAGAAACTTCTCTAATGAGGGGTGAGGGCTGCATTAATCTATGGATATAAAGATAAGTACTTAGAAGGCAGTTTGATACTATGTCCATTTAGCAAAATAATAACAGTAAAGTCTCTCCTAGGGCCTATGGCCTCTCTAGCCACAGGTTCTTGGTCAGGTTTATAGTGCTAGTCATGCGTTCCTACCTGTGGAGTAGGTCTTAAATGTAATCAGAAAGTGGGTGGTTACAAAATGGTTACCCCCAATGCTGTGGTTACCCCCATAGCATTTATGCCGCTGTTGTACCTGTGCATACGGTTCTGGGCAAATCGTCACTGTAGCTTACAAGGTTCACATGGGGTAAGACCACTGATGCTTTTTCTTCCCCAGAGGCCTGCTTAGTGTCTTACTGTGAAAGCAGACCAGCAGGGAGGAAGCTTGCAAGTCAGTGCCAACTTGATTTCTCCGTGTCCTGTGACCAAAGTGTTTGGTGTCGTCACCAAAAGGGCCTTACCACAGAGTTCTGGTGGGTGATTGATGTGTTAGCTCCCTTCTTTCTGGTCTCCATGTCTTCTGAGAAATCCACTGTTATTTGTGCTGGGGGTCTCTTGTGCATGATGGGTCACTTCTCTCACTGCTTCTAAGGTTTGCTTTAGCTGCCAGCAGTTTGACTGTGAATTTAAAATCTACTGAGGTCCTGGCCATGTTTTGGCATCCGTGTTTGAAAGGAAAGACTGCACGACAGGTTTTTTTCTTAGTACTTTAACCTTTATGACATTTCTGAGCATTTCCTTGATCTTTCAGCTCTGTGACTTAGCAATAAATGGTTTTGTTTTTTTTCCATGCCTCATACTCATAGTTTTATAGAATTCAGTGACGTTGTGTGTTGTGTTGCCATGGCTTGTTCAATTGGCAGATTTGTTGAAGACCTGAACACGGAAGGTTTTTGGGAAGACTTTGGCTTTCTTAGATAAATGACGTGTAGGCTTGTCTGTGGTGGTGACATCCGGTTGATGAATTTCTTCCCATTAGGATGAGGGTTACTCTGAGTACGAACTGGGTATTTCTGGAGCCCAGAGGGAAAATTCTCTGATGGCTTTTGGCCCTTTTTGGTAGATGAGTACACTAAGGGTTATATGGATTAAGCAAGTTTGAGACCTTGAGGTTATGGGAATTAGAAAGCAGCAAGCCCAGGGATGAGAACTCAGAGTTCCTGACTCTTTCTGTGAAACCATGGTCATTCTAGTGTAGTGGATTAAGTCTCAGTGATAGTGACTCAACAAATCAAGCAGGATGCTTTCTTAAACCAGGTGATGGAGTGAAGTACAGACAGGCTATTTTTCTTCAGAAAGTGTACATGTTACAAATGAAAACAAGCTATTTATGCTTATTAGTAAATAAGTGATTGCTGAAGCTTGAGTTATCAAAATATGATTTAACACATACAAAAATACATATCACTAATCTAAACCAAGGGATTTTTTCCCCCCTTTTTTCCTTGATATTTCTGTTTTGAAAAGAACCCTTCCTTAACCCTTCCTTCTCCCTTCCTCTCTAGTAAAATTTTGGGTAGGTACTGTTTCATTTCAGTGTCTGATCAATCAGAGGCATGTTCATTCTCCATACGATGAAGCCTACAGTTTTAATTTTAATCCACATGCCTTCTTTTCTATTTCCCATGATCCTTAGCAGCAGGACAAGGATAAGCAAGTGTTATAAAAAGAACTACAGTATGTGGTGCCTATTAAAGTTCCATCCGTTTCCCTTCACAGGAGAATTCAGTTTTTCTGCAGGTTGAGCTCATGTTGCATATGGACATTTCTACAGAACAGACTCCTTATCGCCGAGCAGCGAACATGCTAGCTCACTGTGGGAACATGTTAGTGATGATTGCGAAAGGTAGGGCACTATGAAATCTGTAAGGTGATTTGGCAGCAGCTGGTGCTGCTGGTGCCAGGATCTGGGTACCATCCTGCAACTTCCCGTGTTCAGATGTATTAATTGATCCGCAAAGGACGTCTTTTGGAGACAAGAATTCAGACAGACTGGCACAGCCTGGACCTCCGCCAAGACTACTCGGAAGGTCGCCATAC